TCTATTAAGCTAAAAAAACAATAAAATCTATTAAAAACAATTAAAAATCTAAGAAATGAAATAAAGGCAATTAATTCGATTAAAAGAGAACGCGAGACCAGATCGGAATAAACGGTAAAAACCGGACACCGAGATATCCTCAAAAACAACAGCGTAAGCTGAAGACACAGGGAAGAGCACAAACTTCCCAAAAACAAGACTCCGCTTATCCGAACCGGTCTGAAACGTCTGAAATGTGAAAACCGGGCTGTGATCCCAATAAAATCAAAATGGTTGAAAAAATGCAATGTATGCGGTATGCGAGTGCGAATGCAAAATGAGTCGAAATATAAACCAGATGAGGGACCCGGTTGGTCAAATTTTGGGGTGCAACACATAGAGATAAATGTTGTGTGAATGTATGCATATGTGTAAGTTATGTGAATTGATGAGGATTATGGATGTGTGCATGATAAATATGCTTGATGAACATTCCATATTTGTTTATATATACATATATTATGATGTATATGATGATGATAATGAGTTGTGGTGAGAAATGTGGAATATGTGTATTCTATGCTTGTGTATATATATGTGATTATATGCATTGATTATTATGATAATATTTCTCATCCTTCTGCTGTTTTATAATGCTCTATGAGGCATTGCAGATTAGGTTTTGCTAGAGGTCTTTTGTGAAGTATAGCTTCATTCTTTTGGTCGATTATGCTCTGATATGTAGCACCGGGTAGTTAGGATTGTATAGTATTCTTTTGGGATACATTTTGTATATGTATCTGTTGACAATGTTTATGTAAACATGAATGATGTGGTGAATCAAACTGAATGATATGTATTTATATGATTAAATGTTTAAAGTGATTCAATGTTTAGATTTTCCGCTTTTAATCCTAAATATTGAAATTTGGGTGTAAGGACTAAGTTCCTCTGTTGAAGCTACCCCATTGTTGCATATCTCTATTGAGCAGGTGTTGTATGTTTTATTTCGTGATGATGTGACATACCTCTTTTATACCATGTTTTATTTATACTCTGATGAAAAATTAATTATGTGTTAAATGATTTATTTGTTTATTTGGGGGTATAGAAAGGGGGTGTTACAGTTGTCACCGAGTAAGACAAGTTCGAACTCTCCATCCAGAATTGGGCGCATCTGATGGACAATTTCGCCGCTACTGGAAGGGCTGCTTGAGGACGACTGGATCTCTTTCCCCTTTGCCTTCTAAATCTTTTGGTCTTCTTCAGAGAAGCGACTGTCAAGGTCGATGGAGTCGACGCGGGGCAGCTGCTTCATTTCTTCGACGCTTCTATGCAGAGAAGTCTGGTTGGGGGGTCTTCGGCCTAGCGGCGATGGTATTCATACCCTTGGAGGCCTCTTTAAAACATCTCCTCATGGCTTCAATGTTTCCATGTAGAGTCGCCACGAGACCCTTCGAAGTATGGTATTTCATCTTCAAGTGCACTATTGAAGGCTTTGTTACCGACCCATTGAAACCCTGCAGATCGGAGCCTATGTAGGGTGTCAGATGGGATTCGTCCAGCTTGAAGGTGGAAAATAGTTGGGAATACATAATATCAACTTAGCTACCTTGACGACGAGGATACGTTGGACGTCAAAATTTGCCATTTGGACTCTCACGAGTAAAGGGATGCTAGCGTTGGGGGCTCCACCGAGGAGCTCCTCAAGGTAGAAGCAGATTGGGACAAATTCTCCTCGGACCCTATCGAGGATGGAATTCCGGTTTGAGTTGTTGCTGATAAGGTGCTCAATTTTTTTTTGACGGACCCTACTGTGACTTTGTTGAAGCCTCCTCCGGAGATGAGCATGACAGAGGGGAAAGTCTCCCACGGGTTGTGTGCAGCGAAATATAGAGGGGCGCTGAACCCTTCAGGGTTCTAAAAATCTTCAAGCCGCGAGATGCTCATAGCGACCTGAAGGTCAGCTTCCTCGGAGGAGGGTACCTCTTCGTCGACCTTCTGGGATTCCTGGGTGTCTGGCCGAGGAGCGTCTTTTCTTTTAACGATCTGCTTCAGATTCTTGTCCCTGGTGAGTATCTCTATGGTATCCTTCAGGTGGATGCAGTCGTCGGTAATATGGTCATTGCTCTTGTGGAACCGGCAATATTTAGACTTGTCAGTGTTGGGTTTGGACGGTATCTGCTTTGGGAACTGGGCTCCTGCCTGCCGGAATTCTGAGTTGGCACATTTAGAAAGAATCTTCTCCCTTGAAATTGTTAGGGAGTGTATTCATGGAACCATCTGGAGGGCCCCTTGTTGTCTCGGGGCTCTCGGGGACGGTCTTCTTGTCTTTTATCTCCCCGACGAGATGTCGAGGGCTCGTCGGACCTGGAAGTTTGGGCATTCTTCGTGTGCCTAGAATCACAGGTAGAGTTGGCGGCCTCCTTCTCTTCATACTGAATGTACGCTTGTTCTTTGAGGAGGAAAGAATCTAGAGTTGTTAGGGGCCACATGCCCACGGCTTTAACAAATTCGGTGTGTGGACAGAGCCCGCGCTCGAGCAGAAAATTTTTCATGCCATTGGTTATAGAAACCTGGACAGCCTCCTTATTGAATCTTTTGATGTAGACTCGCAGGGGTTCATCCCTCCCTTGAATGATGGCCTCAATGGAGGCTTCGGTCTTCGGGTGGCGGCGAGAGGCCGTGAAGTGTCTGGAGAACAGTCTCCCCAGTTGTCTCTATGAGGTGATGGAATCTTTAGGGAGTCCTTTGTACTAGGTCATCGCCCCTTTCCTGAGTGTGGTCGGGAATAACTTGCATTTGATAGCTCCCCGGACGCTGCGGTAATCGAGCAGCGCATTTATATTTTTGATGTGCTCGTCGGGGTCTGTCGTACCGTCGTATGTCCCCAAAGAGGCGGGTTTCTCCAAGCCCTTTGGCAGGCGCATGGCCATAATCTCCTGGGACAATGGGCTATGAGGTTCGTCCTTACTGTTGCTACTGGTTCAAGACGGGGAGCGGGCGTCCCGTGTGTACGTAGAATGGCGGTCCCGTCGAGGCGACAGGGTTCATGCTCGGCCCGTGGATCTGGGCGGAGGAGAACATTGGGATTCTGCGTGGTGGCCTCTTCTAGTCCTCTTGTATTGTGGGGAATGATGGTTCTGACGAGAGATGTGGTCGCGCTTGCGGATGGTCAGGGTCTCTGGCTCCGGAGGTGTCCGATGGTTCCTCTCGCGCCAAGGAGGGGGACTATGTGGTCTCTAACGCTCCTTCCTCGACGGCGGGGATCTTGGAAGACTGGATTCTTCTAATGCTCAAATCCTCGCGTTCTAGTTGAGCATTAGGAGGTTGATCTTATTGAGAACCTTGAGAAGGACAGTCATGGTCGGGTCGGTGCTGGGCAGAACTGGGACTGGCAGGTGCTGCAGGATGAGTGGGACTTCATTGTGATTTGCACGAGCAGAGGATGGATAAGTTGTGGCTCCGTCCCTTTGTTGGAGGACGTCGCTGCCATGAGAAGTGGTAACTCCGTCAGTGTCAGTCTTGCTGACGGGGAGGAAGGCATTGCGAGCATCGCGGACATCGTCATGGCTGGCCATGATCGAAATCTTGAAAGGACTGCTTTGGTTTTGAATTCACGGGAAAAAGAAGACGGGGAGACAGTATGCCAAAAAAGACCTTTAGCAGCGCTTAAAAGCGCTGCCTAAAGTGGCGCTGCTAAAGGTAAAGGCAGCGCTTTTTTTATGGAAAAAGCGCTGCTATAGGCTCCCTTTACCAACACTTTTAGCAGCGCTTTTTCCCCCTTTAGCAGCGCTTTTAAAAGCGCTTTCTTAGACCCCCCCCCCTTTAGCAGCGCTTTTAAAAGCGCTTTCTTAGAACCCCCCTTTAGCAGCGCTTCTATAAAGCGCTTTCTTAGAACCCCCCTTTAGCAGCGCTTCTATAAAGCGCTTTCTTAGACCCCCCCCCCCCCTTTAGCAGCGCTTTTAGAAAGCGCTTTCTTAGACCCCCCACCCCCTTTCCCCACCTATAGCAGCGCTTTTTTTGGCCCTCTCTATGCCTCCTTTAGCAGCGCTTTTTTGTAAAAGCGCTGTCTATTCTTCACGATTTTGAAATATTTTTTTTTTCAAAATAATCACATTTTTTATATATTTTTCGATAAACCTGCTTATAACAATTACATTCCCTACTTATAATTCAGGCATTAAATCAACACTTTGGCCTTATATATAACAATTACTTTGGCCTTCTTTATGTGTATTCATCACTTTGCAATATACACAATAACTAAAGTATACATTGTAATTCATCACTTTGCCCATAATCATTTTAATACACATAAACCTGCTTAAATATATTACAACACAATCTGATCCTCAGAATCACAACATCACAAATACATTCAATTTACATATAATTACAAATCCGTTAACTTTACAAATAGATATGACTTCCAGAAATATTTCTTCCATATACATATACCTTATACAATTCACCAACTTCTAAGAAAGCTACACAGTAGGATTATTGGAAACGATCACAATCTTGCTCTTCAAAGGTAACCCCTATAACAGACAAAATATAAATTTTATTAAAATCATATTAATATTTAACCAAAACAAAAATACTAGATAATCCACCAAAACAAATCATATTAAAAATACTAGACAATCCTTAAACCAAAATACTAGATAATCCTTAAACCAAAATACTAGATAATCCACCAAAAATACTAGGTAATCCACAAAAATCATATTAATAATTAACCAAATCATATTAAAAATTGAATTATATCCTTAAACTTAAAATGACACCCTTACTACTAGATAATCCACCAAAAAAAATACAAATCATGTTCACTTCATCTCTCAAGCCATCAACATATAAAACCATAATAACATATCATATTCACCAAAAACTAAATATTGAGAAATCCTAACTAAACATATAAAAAGCTAACAAGCATATACACCAAAACAAAAATACAAATCACTTCATCTCTCAAATTTAAGATAAGTAAATAAAAATTTTGGATAAACGCGTTAGCGAACTTTTCCACAGAAGTTTTTGTCTATCAAAATGTTTGTTGATTTAACATCTCTATGAATGTAGACAGGAACCGTATGCTCGTGAATGTATTCAAGTCCTCTTGCTGAGTCTAATGCAATTTGAACTCTAGCTGGCCATGATAATGGATCCTTTCCTATAAATCAAATATCTCAAGAGTCTTATAATTATCGTTAAAATGCTGCAATTAGCGATATTCTAAGTTCAAGTTATGATTACTATTGTCAATCTATGCCGCGCAAATGTTGACTTAAATTTCCATTCTCAATGTATTCATAAACCAAAAATAAGGAGCCCTCGACACAATATCCAATTAGTCGCACCTGCATAGAATATGTGTATGCAAGGAATCATGATTCCGGAAATAAGTAACTATATATATTTCAATTTCTTGTTATGCAAGTAACTTCTAGTTTTTACATGACTGGCATAAGATCATTAGTAGCACATATACTTTTGATTCAAAGCATGTTAGGTGTCTCACACACGCGTGATTTAATTCATTATCATTTTTCTTAAACTATCACTAGTTTTTACGAGTCAGTGTCGTGTCTGTCTCGGTATCATGCTTCGACTTTGAATAATATCGGGATTGGGAAAATGTCATACCAAATTCAAGTGATGAACGTGTGTCAGAACCTTTAGTTCAGCTAGGAATTCTTTTGATGCTTGCATATCCATCTTTTTTATTGCAGCTTTCTGCAGAAAAAAATAGAAAAAGTTAAGTGTTGCTAATAAGTTGAATCTCCATTTCAAAAGAGATTCTAAACACACAAACCTCATTTCGAAGCTCGGCGTAGTAAACAGATCCAAAGCCACCTCGACCGATTATATTTGCCGCGCTAAATCCGTAAGTAGCTTTGGCTAACTCCTCATACGAAAACTCCACTGACTTATCAACCGTAATACCTGTCAACCTCGGAGAAGCAATAGTAGTCGATTCGGAGGCCTTATCCAAGCTGCTTCCACAACCTAAATCCATGGAACAGATAATACTCATATACTGTTTCACATTTTGCATGAAAACTTAATCTTCAATTTAGAACTAGAAAATCTCACTATACAGTTTACAACAAAATATGATATACCATGTTGGAGTTGACTATATTGATCTTCGGACGCACCCGGGACTGGTAGAAGAGTTACATGAACAACTTTTTTTCTTCTATATAGCACAAAATAGAGAATGAGTGCCAAAAGTAAAATCCCAAAAGCTCCTCCAACAACTATGCCAGCAATGGTTCCTTTGGACATTCCTATATACAACAATGTCAGCATCACATAGCAATATTTATTTACCCTGCCATGATTTTTCATGTCACTCTTTTAACTTTATATATATATATATATATATATATATATATATATATATATATATATATATATATATATATATATATATATATATATATATATATATATATATATATATATATATATATATATATATATTGATTAACATATTTATGAAACTGCAATGTGTGTGTGTGCGCGTATATATATATATATATATATATATATATATATATATATATATATATATATATATATATATATATATATATATATATATATATATATATATATATATATATATATATATATATATATATATATATATATATATATATATATATATATATATATATATATATATATATATATATATATATATATATATTGATTAACATATTTATGAAACTGCAATGTATACTGTACATCACCTGATCTGCAAAAATGAAGAAAAAAACAAAGCATAGATGTTCAAGTTAGAAATTAATATATATATATATATATATATATATATATATATATATATATATATATATATATATATATATATATATATATATATATATATATATATATATATATATATATATATATATATATATATATATATATATATATATATATATATATATATATATATATATATATATATATATATATATATATATATATATATATATATATATATATATATATATATATATATATATATATATATATTGAAGAGAAAATGTTGGAATATTCAAATCAAATTTAGCATTTAGGATGTAAGGTTATGGAAATTTCAGCATACTTTAGCTGCAGTGGTGGAAAGTTTCCATATTCATCTGCAAAATATGATTGATAAAATAATCAGAAAAAACTATAAAAAAATAAGTGACAATGCATAAACTAAGTATAATATAATCTGTATTGTTTTATTTTAAAGTCGGATAGTGCCAATTGTTCTTAATAAATTAAACATTTTTCTTGACCAAAAGTATCAAAATAAGCATCTTTTCTAGCTTCTTTTTTTATTAATTCTGTCATGTTGATATATTTCCAAATGCATGGGTGGAATATGCTGAATCTTTTTCATATTCCATTATTTTTCATTACAAAACTTCACTATCCAACAAGTGTATGAAATTGTGTCAAAAGGAATGTGAAAGAGACATAAATAGGTGGATTTAGCTAGGCTCTTTCTTTTGAATCCTACTCCTTATGTCAACCAAATCAAAACTGAAATATTCACTAAAACAATGAACCACATAACAGTTTTCCTTCGTTGTTTTTCAACTTTTGTAACTAGCAGAAGAAATAAGGAGACTAACAACAACACTTTTTAACCAATATTTTTCGCACAATGAAATTAATCAATGCAAACATTAGCGGCAATAGCGAGTCGAACAAGCATGAGACCTTAATCAATCTGTACCACAGATAGAAACACATCATAACTATTATATTTCCAATTCTACACTTCATATGTTATGTATTAAGAGAATGTGAGATAGTTATGGAATGGTTATGGAGAATGTTAAAAACAGAATATGATATCAGTTCAAATATTATATGAGAACAACCTAAAGCAACTAGAAGATTCAAACTCCAATAATGCATTCAACTATAAGAACAATAAAAATGGAAAATGAAAAACTTCAAATACCTTAAAATGGTGGAAATGCGCTGGTGGAGGACGGAGATGACCGTAAAAAATGGACGGACGGCGGCAGAATGAGGTGACGACGGAATGACCGGAGGAAAAGCGACGGACGGAGGCGCGGACGGAATGCGTCGACGGTGACTGTTCTAATTCTGAATAGGGCAACGTTCGCGAGTGGAAATAAGAAAGAAGAAAACTCTTCTGATTCTGCGAAAATATTGGGATTTTTTAAATTTATGCTACTTAAACCTATAGCAGCGCTTTTTTTGGCATTTAGCAGCGCTTTTAAAAGCGCTGTTATAGGTCTCCCTTAGGACCCCCTTTAGCAGCGCTTTTTTTGGCATTTAGCAGCGCTTTTAAAAGCGCTGCTATAGGTCTGCCTTAGGACCCCCTTTAGCAGCGCTTTTTTTAAAGCGCTTTCTTTGACCCCCCCCCCCCCCTTTTAGCAGCGCTTTTTTAACAAGCGTTGTCTTAGGTATGCTATTTTTTTGTTTTTTTTTTCATGACCCTTTAGCAGCGCTTTTTTAGAAAGCGTTGTCTTTTGTTGCGTTGCTAAAAGTCGTTTCTGGCGTAGTGAGAACAAAGTTTCTCACAGACGGTGTCACTGATCTTACCGGTTGATCAGAACCTGAGGTGGGCCAAAGACAATCGTCTGTGATGCTGGGTGTGAAAGAGGAAGACGGGGTGTACCTGCAAGGCACTCTGATGCTAAAGTAAGAAACTGGCAAGAGAGACTAGAGAGCAAGTATAGGAAGAGGGGTGAATATTGGATACTTGACCCTCTCGAATGAGAGGATTTTTACAGTGCCCCCAATGCTTGGCCATTGGTCCCTAATTTCGGGGGGAGGTAATCGTTTCCTGAAGAATATGTAACTGCCAGAACTACACGTTGGAACGGGAAGACGTGCCCATAACTAGTCGTTGCTGCGAGAAGGGACGTAGTTACGGACAGGAACAAACGTCTTGTCTGTTTCTGGATGGTGGAACCATGCGTGACGGGCAAAGACTGGCGAGGAGAAGTGTTTTGACCAAGGATAAACTGGTCAGTTTTCCCCGTTGGAGGGACAGAAAGGTAAATTCTCCTCCAAAATTGTTGGAGTTAAACAATTGAGCCGTTCTGGGAGTAGAAGTGGATTGGGCCAGTCCGGTACACTCATCATCCATGCATTTCAATATATTTACGTTTCTAATTTTGGACAAATTTAGGGATTAATTATTATGTATTATTATTATTATTATAAAAAGTTTTAAATAAATCACAACCATTATTTTTTAAATACTTAAAATTTAAATTTAAATTTTTAAATAAATAAACGGTTGTGATTAATTAACAGTCTAAAAGTTTTTTACAGTGTATATGAATGAAATTGATATATTGTAATTATCTGCATTTTTTTCAAAATCCTGAAAATATTTATCAAAAGTATCGTGTTCATTGCATATGATTGATGGAATTTATTATGGATCCGTTTGTTTTTTCTTTTTTTTTAAAAATTATAATATAAAATAATTTTATGTAAAGAAAATTTACAAAAAAAATTTCATAAAAGATTTAAATAAAAAATTAGTTTAAATAATTATTTTTTAAATATTATTTTAAATATTTTATAATTTTATTGAAACTATTTTTATATATTAAAATTTTAAAAAACACTAAATTTTAAAACTATTTTAAATAATTTTTCTTAAAATTTATTTTTAAGATAATTTTTTTTCTTCAATTTTGACTATATTTTAATTTTCAATAATGTATTTTTATATTATTGAAAGTCAAAATTAATTTTTTAATTTAATAAAAATTAAAAAATTGTGATATTTTAAATAGAGTTTAATTGATATACACTAACAATATAAAATAATTTTATACTATCATCCAATAGGAATGTATCAATCTTTTATGTCATATCATTAACTTAAAATTTACAATATAATGTGACAGGATACATGCAGATACATGCGGATAATTGATTGACATTGTAAAATTATTTTATACTGTCAGTGCATATGAATTAAATTCTTTTAAATAATAATTTTATAATATTAATTTATGACAAAAAAAATATATACTTTACATTTTTTTAAGTTAAAACAAAGAGTCCTATATTATATGTTTTAAATGATTATTCTAAATATCCAATCAATGATCTAAGATCTAAAGAAATAAAATTCAGCAATACTTTGCCACCAAAAAACCATACTAATCTGTCGAGAGACTATGACGCTAAAATATAAGGATGATTTTTTTTATTTATAAAGCCCTTTCTCTTATCCTTTTGGAGCTTTCCTTAAGACATTTTTAGATCAATTATATAACTTGTTCATGCATTGATGTTCCCCAATTAGGTAAATTTCCATCATGCCCTACGTGTAAGGTAACAAATATTCTATTAGACATCTCACACTCTTGTTTACAGAAAACTTGTCCCACAATGCTTTTATGACATAAAAACAAGTTATGTCTTAGTTTAATTTTTATTTATTTATTATAATAAAAATCACTTTTATAATAGAGATTAATTTGAATTGAGTGACACACAGTTACCATTTAATTAAAATTAATGCTTTTAAATACAAACTTCTGAATTAAAATAAAATAATATACTATAATTAAATTAATTTAATAAATGTTTCTTCAACATTTCTATCTCATCTTCCATGCTTATGAGTTAAAATAATTAATTTTAATTAAATAATATATCAAATTGTTCTCTCTCATCTTTTATTTTTGAGTTAAAATAATTAATTTTAATTTGATAACAATGTAAAGTGTTTTATATTAAAAATATTTTTTATATATTTATATTTATTTTTAAAGCACATAACTAATAATTAACTAACTTAATTAAAATAAAAATAAATGTACAGATAATAACATTTAGTTTAAATTTAAAATAATAAAAAAAAACATTTTATATTAATACATTCTTTACAATGATATCTGTTTTAGACTGGGCTTGGGATTGGTCCGCCGTCGGGAGCGGACCAACTTAGCTTCATGTCGGAGAGGGCTGAACGCAAAGGCGCAAGTTTGCATAACTATTGGAGACCACGCACCCCACACGCTCATTGTAACACCTTTTTAAATTCCACGGAAAATATAAGCATAATCAGAGTAAAAATTAACATGCATTCACAAGGGCGTCACACATACACTTCCAAATTACTTAAACCACCGGTCATGCTTATTAACACCGAATTAAATAATCTTACTTTATAAAATTTCATTTCTTTCGCATGTAGCAGCGGATTCATTTATATCACATTTTTTTCATAAAAGAAATATTTGTGTTTATCACCTAAATCAACATCACTTAGG